TCTTGCATGACGCAAGTTTGGTTCTGGCCGACAGGTGTAAGATCACCTTACAAATACACCCGCCGAACTGATGACCTGATGATAAAATTCGAGAACAAAACGTATGTATGTTTTGTCTCTTCACCCCCCACTGTTACATGGTTTATATCTACTCATGAGGCTTGGATGGGGCATTAGCTGACAGTTGCTCAGAACTAGCGCTACGTAAGACGGAAATTCTTACCAAGTAAACCAGTATAAAAGAATCTGGAATGGGTTGCACAGTGATTTTTTCTCTGTACGTTTGGCACTAATCATCAACATTTTCATCATTACCTGATCGAGATCCTTTACATCTGGTACATGAACGTCAGCAAACCTTATTTTGAAAGTCTCTGGGCAGTGTTATTAATTCTACTAATCCCAAACTAGCCAAATCGGTTTGTGTTCAGTTCGACCGTTCCAGATTTTTCACAGTTCAAAGCTCCGTGTTCCTTCCACGTACATGCACATGTAAGTGTTTGGTAAGGAAACAATCATCGGTAAGAAAACAATTATCATTAGCGATAGCAGGAAGTGGTGAGACGTTCCCTTCAGGTCAGGAGTAAGGAAGTAAGGAGCGAGAAAGACGTCCCGGTATACTGGAATGTCCTTCCTCGTTCTTTACTCCTGACGTTTGATCACACAACACATATAGAAAAATGCCAGGTCATAGGGCATGTTCTCTGTAAACTTAGAGCAAGGCCAACCCTTGTTCTGTTCCAAGAAAAGTCACGCGAGGTCTTTTCCTTGTGCATGTGTTGGACAGGGCCCGGTCATATACTGACGTCGTACGGTTGTCGTACGATCATCTTGTTACGGAAAAGGCTACCTTATATCTTTGTCGGCGGTTGGTTCTGTTGAAAATTCCACCACATGGTACCGTACGGCGAATGTGACCGCGCCGACATGGAGCAGAGACAGACCGGGGCGGGAGGCCTGACTTTTCGCGACCTAGCCTGATCATCTGTAATCTTACTTGTTACCTTGGTGATGCGTTTGCGTCAGCAAATAACAACAACAAACCTGGCTTCTAAAAATGCCTCAGCAGCTACAAAGGACACAAACAGCGCACTCATGCGGGATTAGCCCAAATCGCGGCAAAAATGGGTCGAACGTGCCAGAGAAAAGTGATATGGTGTTACGTTTGCTAAGTCAGCGTTAACGTTCCGGATATTATCTTCGAATCTCTGGGATGACCGTCTCATCCCTACATACCTGTGCATGGGGAGCTAGTCTTATCTGCGCTACAAGGCTGGCTTAGTTGCCATATGACCCTGGGTCAACCAACTAGGAAGACAACAACTACAAGGCCGCTGATGCAACAGCAACAACTTCAGAAACGGAGATGTTGATTATGCGAATCGCACTCAAACTTTCTGATCCATTTACTGCCAAAAAAGAACACACGTAACGTTATGACCTTAACTTGGCCCATGGCAGAAATACTAAAGAAAGCTACGTTCCTTGCCCGCATGTTCATTAAGACACCCTCACACTTGGAAGTGGTCTTAAGTTACATCATCCCCCCGTTTTCTCCTGGCGCGCCCCAGCTGTGTATACTAATTGTTTGTGCATGTAAGACTACACCACGCCGCCCTGCCACTGTTTTCTACATTCCCAATTTGCTCCAAGGAGATGGAGTCTCTCTCTATATCGCGAAAGTTTCCTGTTGTATCCAGAATCGTGCTTCATCCAAGCACACCCACGCCCAGCTGCAGAAACGGTTCTGGATAGTCCACGGGTATCGAGAACCGTGCCTGGGGCAAAGAGACGTTCTTGGATAAACGGAGACCATCCAGAACCGTGCCTGCTGATCCTAACGCATTCCAGAATAGAACTTGACACGCTCTTAGAAGTAGATCCGACCACCAGTGGCCTCTGGTCTGCCGTGCTGTCTGTGCCAACAAGGGATGCAGCGCAACTCTCTAGTTTCACACGAACGTCAAGTTCAAGTGTTGCCCCCTTTCCACTTTCGAAAACACTCAGTGTCCCATTGTGCTTTCATCCATTCTTCTACAGACTAAGCACGCTCTAATGACCAACGCAGAGCTTTCGGTAAACAATGAAATGTCAACGAGAAAATAACTAGTCCATTCACAACTTGGGCTGCCCTAAGAAAACATTCTGACCTATTCAGAATCCTCTGCCCGTATCCATCCCCTCCACTCGTACCACCACGCGTCCATGTCCAAGAGACTTCCTTTAGATTCAAAGACTCAAAACACACCCGGCCGGAGTCATTAACACCCCCATCCTGAATAATATTCCACGTTACATCGTACAAAAAAGCAAACTTTTAAGTTGTAACTTATGTTACTTTTTCTCGAGTAAATGACGCAAGCATTACATCGACCAACTGACACATGTGGCTGCACTCCTGACATGTTGGATAGTCTGAACAGTACATGTACTTCAAAACACCATGTAGTACCCAGGCACGATCGTCGTAAGATCGTCGTGCGATCGCAAGTTGTCGACGTGTACAAACTTCATTATTATGTACAATGTATTATGTATTTGTACGGAAAAGGCTGTCTTACATCCTTGAGGGTGGTTGCTTTTGTCACAGCCTGGTTGTAAATGCTACGACATCAAAATCGCGCAACGAGCATCTGCCCGACCTATCGGACAGTGACCTGATGTAGTTACGTCATACACCGCTAGTGGCCTGTCCACAACTACTGACGTCACGGCCATTACCACGGTTAATGGTGCCTGGCCTGGACCTGGGGCCGGACAATAGCGGCGGCCATGGGCCTGAAAATACTGAATGGAGTCGGTGCCTGCCTTGGTAGTGGATTTATGCAGTTAAAAGCTTTCCCCGAGATGAAATATGAACAAGTGCATATCTTCGAGCAAATGTTCCGTCGGAGTTATGTCCATTCTACACAACTGTGCAACACTGCCTTTGTTTGGCGAAGGTTATGCCGGAAATAGTACCTTTGACCGCCGCCATGTACATTGTTATTTACGGCTCGATGGTACAGTTAACGTCATGACATTTCCACTTCAAAATAAACTACAAAGAGCACAATACTGGGTTTACGAATTCCAGGGGGAAATTCCCACCCGTGCTATTTGCCTGTACGCTGCGTTCTTTATGGTCCTTTGCGACCAATTTCATAAATTGAATGTGAGGCAATGATGACGTTGCGGCTGTCTTCTGTGCTGTGATGTTCTTTTAACGACTGGTTCCTAGCTGTTTAACTTATTTTGTGGTTTCTATACAGAATGTGGAGCATATATTGAATTTATCATGTTCCAGTATGACCATTTTCCTCATGAGAGAACCACATGCACAGTACAAAACGTAGCTGTAGAATATTTTTTCCTAACCATGAACGATAATTACACTTGGTATACTTTGTTTTCACCATGACGTAATGTAGTGTGGGTGACATCCCCAGTAGTATTCGCCCGCTAGCTTAAAACTGGTATCTAGCGACATTAGGGAGCGGGCGAATACTAATACTACTGGGGATGGCACCAAGGCTAGACGTAATGGGTGATTTACTGTTTTTATACAACAGTGTTTGTCAATTACTTAGTCTTTGTGGACGACTTTTTAGGCTTGTTTATAGATCACGGAACGCTCCGCACATAGAACCTGCAGGATTGGAGTCTAATCGGCCAGAAAGGGTCAGTTTGTGCTCGCTTACTGTGCTCAAGTTGTCATGGACATCGACACAGGTCTAAATACGGCTTCATGGAATTAGATGCTCAGTGCTCAATGTCGCAATGAGACATGCAGGAAAAGAAAGAAACGAAATGATGCTCAATTGGTCTGATATTTTTATTTCGACTTCGCTCAAGAAGACCAGTGTCGGAGATGGAATCAATCAATCAAGGAAGTAATTGTGTTCCACCAGGGGAAGACCCGTGATTGGAGGTGGTACGATCGCGATGTAGTCAGTACGCAGGGTGGTAGTCTATAAATAGTGACACTGTTGAAAGGTTTACCGGAAAGTAACTATCGAAACTCGGCGAAAGAGCTTACACAAGTACGGCCTTAAGACGTAAGACACGTTTAACTGGTAAGCCCAGGATTCGAGGAAGATATATGTCCGTAAACCAGGGGATTATCTCGTATGTTCTCTTCAATAGAAATGCTACCATGGCTTTCTATTCCTTTTGTGTTGATGTAGGTTAAAGGGGTTGGGCTCCGCAAATATATCCCCATTAGATGTGTTCTGTATTCCTCTTGGTTGACGTTTCGTTCCGTGTGTTGAACACAGCTTTCGATATGACTTCACTAAAAAAACGTTGGACAAGTTAAATGAACTGTCAGTCCTGATATCGTACTAGAGGTTTACATGTAGGTAATCGATATAAAAAAAAAGAAAAAAACATTGCCATTCAGGGTCAACTTTGATGTCCTCAACGAAGGTGTTAGATTGGCATGGTCTAGTTATTATCTGATGTATGGGGTGTCGTACCTGTATGCCAACATGCTATGGAATGTTTGTGCCAATAAAGTTTGTCATGTTTGAGCTAGATTCACGCCTGCCCCCCTCGGTCAGACCCATGGACAGCCAGTGATTATTAGACTAAGTGCGCAAGCGACAAATTGTGAAAAATATATCAATGTGTTCTTTCCAAGTTTATACCAATTTTCGACAAGCTTAAGCGTGGGTCACACTTTCATAGAGGGATATGATTTCTATGTTTCCCATTTCATACACTTGAGTAAAATAAGTACCTGTAGACAAATTCATATTTCATGAGTGGAGACCAGGCTTTCATCATAAAACGCATCTGTTTTCACATTTACACCATCACAAAGACGCGAGAAGAAGTCGATTTCACTATAGTCCTCGTGTTCTCGTGCTAGCTTAAAATGTCAATATATACATGTACAGCTGCGGGCTTTTCTTTTGTTGTGACCTGTACTTAACCTAGTGGATATACAAGTACATTTAAAGTTCTTCATTCAGTAGAATTCTTAAATCATGTCCAAAACGACATTTCTTACCTTACAGAGGGATGTGGCGTTGCTGTGAACAAGAATCAGGACTCCAGCAGTAGAGAGATCCACAGAGCCCGCCGTGAAGCTCCAGAAAAAATCGTCGACGATGTTCAAGAAGTGAAGGAAGATGTTCCACACGAGGCCAGGAGGCTCCTGTGGCATTCCGAAGACGTCAATGTCCGAGAGGATAACCAGAAAAAGTGAGTCACCTGCACACTGAAGAACATCTTAACTTCCCTTATATGCACACTGAAGACCATCTCCCCTTACGTGTAACGACACATCCAAGTCCAACCAAACTTAGAACAAAGATGAAACCCTGACCACTTGAGATGTCAAGAACCCTTGAGACTTTAAAACATATGATTAGCTTTGAATTAACCTATCTCCATAACTGTAAATGTTATAAAAATAAGAGTGTTCTTTCAGTCAACGGGTAACACTTTATTCTATGTAAATACAAACAATTAGAAACCTACATTTTCAAATTGTCTTGGTGATGCCAGTGAGTTGATGAAGAGCTGAGGAAGAGTGATGTATGTAGAAACGACATGTAATCTCAGTATTTTCCCCAGCAGTAGATTTTGAGTCGTCTATGATATGAGTAGTGTCTTCTCAATCTCAAAGTGATCACAGTTCTGTGACAAGGTGTGCATTTTCATCCTGGTACTGACATCGTTCTAGATCCCGGACCAAACGTGACCTGTCCTGGCCGAGCAGCAGCCTGGACCGCTGGTCCGACCTCCTGGGCGGCCTGCCCCAACCCGAGGCCGAGGCCGAGGCTCAGCCCGAAGCGGAACCCGACCTCTCCCAAACCCAGGTTCAAGCGGAACCCGGCATGGAGGAACTCCTTGGGCAAAGTCAACTCCAGGGTCAAAGTCAGAGTCAGAGCGAGATTGAGGACATTGGCCAGGCCATCCAGATTATCAACGGCAGCGTAGGTCAGTATGAATTAGCGTATCTTATGAGCCACGGCAGAGCTTTTTTCAAATAAATATTTTCATCTCACCTGAAGAGCAGTAGTGTTTCCCCAAAATATTGATCTGTATTCTCCAGTACAGCATTATACAACATTATAATTGGAATTCGCTGGAGAGACAAATGTGACTTAATGCAGAGGAAGTACAAATAGGGTGTAGGATAGAGTGAATGCCTGTTTTTTTGTTTTGTTTTCTCCAGTTTATTGTCAGCAGAACTGTGAGAACGGTGGAAGGTGTAGCGGGGTGAACGTGTGCGAATGCACAAGAGGCTGGACAGGAAGATACTGTACAGACTGTGAGTTTCCCTGTCATGATCTTTGTTTAAGGTATTTTCTATTCAAACAAGACAAGATGGAAATTATTCCTCTGCAGACATAATAAATATAACGAAAATACGTGGTTCTGGCCTATTCAATGTTGGAAAATATGAAAGCATTATTCATTTATTACTTGTTCATCCACTTTTTGTTTATGTTAACTAAGACCGAATTAGTTTTATTTTATTTTATTTTTTGTATTATTATATGTGGTTTATCCCCCCCCCCCAATAAATGGTCAAAGGGCATATACGAAAAATGCAAAACAACAGAAAATCTTTTTTCACCAAGAAATGTTCAGGGTATGCTAACAAACATTCTTTTTTCTTGACGAATACAACAAAGATGGGCGCGACCGTACAGCCCACAGAGGTGACATTTCACCGTACATTGCCACCGCACGGAACATTGGACATTCCAACACGGAAACTCCAAATATAAATCAGTTGTCGAGAAACAATACCACTCTTTTCTGTGAGCCTGCCATTATGTCTATCGGCTTTGAAACCAAACCCCGCCGAAGTGACATTCTTCAAACAGCGTCTTAGTTCCAAATTTGTTCAAGTGCACCCACATCGAACTTGTCTGTCAACGACCTACCCTTCCTTTTGTTACTATGTTTTCTGCGTGGTTGGCAACTACATAGTTGACATTTATGTTAATCTAATTGCTGTATGTGTGTTTTGGGGGCATTCACAGCAATGTAGGACCTCGAGCTCATAAAAATCAAAACTTTGGTGATTGGTGCACAACTACAAGTTTGAAGACACGCTTAACGCCATGAAATGCTTCACAGCCGCTCCTTTATACAATATCATGTATTTATTGTGATTTATGAGCATCAAACCATGCATGCAACTTTGTCAGATTTTTTTCACCTCATTGTCATGTTGTGCTTGCGGTGTGGTGATTTGCTTCTCTGGCTAGTGCTCTTTAAAATGTTCTAGCGCGTTTGTAAGGTTGGCAAGGGCGGGCACACTACCTCACTCGCAATCTTCTAACCTACCGGATCTCTTCCCTTCCTTCCTCGCCTCTCCTCCGCCCATCCAGACGTATGTGAAACGCCCTGTGTTCACGGCTCGTGCTCCGGTCCTAACACCTGCTTGTGCGATGACGGTTACCAGGGAGAAACATGCGAACAGGGTAGGTAACGTAGTAGCATTGACATGTGTTCCACTTGACAAGGACCCGAGTCAAACCTTCACAGCAGCTAGCTTTTCACTAACGGTGCTGGGGTCTGCAAAGAGTGAAGTTTGACACAAGGCCTTGTCAGGTGGGACTATTTTACAATGGATAATGACGATTACTCTCTTGTGACCATAGACGAATGCACACGTGAGTGTGATCATGGCAGGTGTACAGGTCCCGACGAGTACACGTGTGACGAAGGCTGGGAAGGGGAGTTGTGCAAAACAGGTATGAGGTGTGGTGTATGTGGTGGTGCCTGCTTCCATCTCGGTCTGGTCATTCCAGAACTGCATGTACAGCATCTGGTTTCCAAATACTTCACTCTCTAAGCAAAAGTTAGGCTTGTTTTGGACATTTAAGGCGTTTTCATGTGTTTTGTGGGGCGTTCTATTTTGTCCACGTTTCTTTGCGTCTTTTGGCGAGTATATGCAAGGGAAAGTTGAAACGCTAACAAGCTTAACCTCTGCTTCGAGAATAGCCTCCAAACACCACCGTTTCCTGCACATCCTAACGTACAAGGCGTGTATCACGGATTGCCTAGAACCTCGACTTAAAGCTTGATGCCCCTAAAGGAGCCCAATATTCTAACATTTGACATTGTTCCAAGAAGCATGAGTGGATTTTACATTTTTACAGTGTCTTTTACTTCTCACTTAAAATCACTGAATGTCGCTGAATGAACTATTTTGTGTTGTCTGAGATATCATTTCTTTGGTTTTACACACTTCCCTAGCTATCAACCGTTTCCTGAAATTTGAACTGCTTTAAGTTCACTGAATGGCACAACCTCGGGAAGTTTTGAAATTTGTTTGGTTAGAATATGATTTGGAAGGCAATGTTGTAAATGCAGCATATAAAGAACAAACCGTTTTTCAGGCTACATGAGACGGTGGGCCTGAAGACAGTCGTCGTAGGATGTCATGTGTATGTGCGATGACGTAGAATTTTAAAGCAGGCTGTGACAGAACCAAACACCGATAAGACATCCTTTTCAGTAACAAAACTGTACGACATATACACGGCTACACCACCAACACTTTGCGATCGTACGACGACCGTACGATCTGTATGGAATGTTGTTAACAGTGTTTTGTGTTTCATGATCCGCAGCCATCTGTAACCCAACGTGTGCTAACGGGGAATGTGTTGCTCCGAACGTGTGTGAGTGTCAGCCAGGGTACGAGGGAGAACACTGTCAGACAGGTGGGTACGGACAGGACTGAGGGCATCCGCGCGATCTATAAATGCTTCGGATGTCATGCAATGTTATCCAACAGCAAGATCCTTACTCTCAAGTAGCAAATAGAAACTAGTTTGTTCCTTTACAGGGGAAATATTGTATCTCGCACATAAATCAACTTGCCGTTTCATTGTCTGAAGAGATGCAGAAGGTTCTATAGATTGAGCATTCAGGGTATACTTTGAGCATTATTAACTACCCTATGTTCTTGTTGATGTAGCCATCTGTCAGTTTTCCTGTGAAAATGGCGGCTTCTGCTCAGAACCAGACGTGTGCAGCTGTCAGACCGGATACTCCGGACGTCAGTGCGAAACACGTGAGTTTGAGAGAACTTTTCAGCTAGTGGCTGTAACATACAGGTGGCCAACGAGAAGCTACATGTAGCTTCCACCTGTAATGGCCCTTCGTTTGTCCTTTTCGCCGTAGTAATGATGGTTAAGCCTCTTATTCAGTATAGGTACCAAATTTCAATTCATTTTAACACGATTAAACCTTAATGTACGCTTTTCCTTGACAGTTCAGTAAGATATCCAGACTATTCCAGACTAAACTAAAACACAAACGGTTACCATTTTAAGTAGCAAAGGTGTGCGTTTTACTTTTGAACTGTTTTACTTGAAAAAAATTCGCAACGCATCAAGTATAAACTCGGTAAAGCGTCAAGTTTACTAACCACCTGTGTGTTTTTCAGCGGTGTGCGACCCCAGCTGTCTGCATGGAGGGGCGTGTGTTGCTCCGGACACCTGCAACTGTCAGCCCGGCTGGGAGGGGTCGATCTGTGACACACGTCAGTCCTCTCATCAGCTTCCTGTTTCTTTAGTCTAGAAATGAGTTATAATGCAGGAAATACAGATTAATTTAAATGACCATGGACTAATACACATATATATCATAGTCCTCTCTGAAAAGCATCAACCATTGAGAACATATGATTTTCCCTGTCAAACTTCAATAAGAAAGTCGACGTCAGCAATATTTTGTAAAGTGGAATCTACAGCAAACTGGAATTTACAAGAAATTGACGTGCGATACACAAAGTCGTCTGCTAGCTATAGTGCACATGCGCACATGTAACTGCCACGCACATAACTTGATTTCCTTATATAGCAGGAATGACTAAATTCAGCGGAGCAGTAATTTTGCTTTTTTCTGTCCTCTTCAATTTTAAAAACAATTCATTATCTCTTACCTAGTATTTAGAAAAAAAGCTCTACATTTATCAGTTCATCAGAAGTCAATGTGGTCTTTATTTGAACAAGTATGACTATGGCAATGCTTGTTTAGGGGAGATCTTGCCTGTGCTTATGGCGAGAATCCCCACGGCGCGCAGCAAAGTGTGAGCTCCGAACAGCTGAAATGTGACAGCCTGTGAAATCAAGGAACTTTCGAGACCTCCTCGGTGGAATACTTAGACACTTCTCGGTTCCTGACCAGCCTCGAGGCTTCGGTATTGATGAGTTAAATTTGGAGGGTTGACCCTTTATGTGCCAACTTACTAGAAGTAGTTTGTAGACGCTGAAACGGCGCTGTTTGTAAAGATGTGTCCTAGAGCTGTGTACCTAAACAAATTTTAGGTACAGGTACAGGTACAGGTACACAGGTTTAGGTACAGGTCCGGACCTGAACCTGTACCTGAACAATTCGACCAATTTATATGCTCTTCTGAACTCATTCAATAACAAAAAAAAACATTAATAAACTTGATAGTTAAGGTTTATTCTTTGTTTATGGCGAATGCTCAGATAAAATATAGGCAAAACTAAGATGTTTTTGTTTTCATGAACACACTGTCCTTACACAGATACCCATTGTGGACCAGCTATTTACACATTTGAGGTCACAAATAGGCATAAAATTGGTGTGAAATTGTTTAGGTACAGTACCGGTACTGAGGGATTAGGTATTTTGGACCTGTACCTAATCAATTTTTCCGGTACAGTATCGGTACTGCGTACCGGTACACAGCTCTAATGTGTCCTCATCCTCCCTGCAGCCACCTGTGAATCGGAGTGTCAGAACGGAGGTACTTGTACGGGGCCCGGCCGCTGCACCTGTCCGGAAGCTTTTGGTGGGCCACAGTGTCAATACGGTATGTCTGGGTGACAATGTTCATTTCAGACTGTGTCTAATCTGACTTCTAAATTCGATCAAATTGCCATTTCGGATATCATGACGGTCTGGGTTGGCAAAACCGGGTCATGCTATAACATGTCAGTGACACGTTGCCTTTCTTGTTTGCAACACATAGTGCTAGCACATATGTACGATTGTGGAATTGAAGATGCTAACAGAATCTTTGGTTTTCTCACAGACCTTTACGAGGTTACTCAGGCATCACCAAGTAAGCCACATTCCTCATTCACTCATTTGGAGTTCCACATTTGAAGTAAAATTATGTCTATCAAAACAAAGAGGTCATTAACTTGTTGTAGGGAAAGTTCTTGCAATTTCAGTACTAAAAGCAGACATTGTATCAGATAGAATGGAACGTCATATACAGAGTACAAATGTATGTCATCTACATTATAGTCTAAATGTTGGTTTGTAACACAGCCCTAGCGCCTGACCACAGCGGGCGATTCTGTGGTGCATTCGGACGTCAGCACTACTTCACGTATGATGGGCATTTCTACACCTTCCCTGGTACCTGCCAGTACCTACTGTCTGGGGACTGTGCTTCCAGTACATTCCAGGTCAGCAATATGTGTCAATTTTCTTAACTGGAAATTATCCATAGACCGGCATATCAAAAAGATGTTATTAAGGCCTTCTCAGGAATGTCAATGAGCACTTGGATATCTGAAGAGTGTATGCCTCAGACACTGATGCTGCATTTAAATTCACTGTTTTCTAATATGGAGGTTTAAGTATACCCTAAGCAGAATTATGAAAGTTGATGTAGCAATGTCATCAGAACATTTTGGCTTCTAGTTCTTTATAGGAACAGGGTAATGTTATTTCTTTGCAGTGGTGCCAATTATAAATGCATGAGTGCTAACTTTTGCCCTGCTGTTGATTTTTAAATTACCTCTTTGACAATGACATCTGTGTTTGGCCTCCCATCAGGTGTTTGTCCGTAATGACCCCAACTGCACCGCCTCCTCCCCGCTGTGTAAGCGTGAGGTCAGAGTTCACATGATGGGCCTGACAGATGACCTGATCCTCCACCAGGGACACAACTACGAGGTCACCAAGGGTGATGTGACGTAAGCACTCATTGACTTTTGCAATTATTAGCACAAACATTCTTCTTACACAGTCATCAAGAATAGAAGATTTAGCTATGAAACCTTTGGACTCAACAGTAGAATAAATTGGTTCTTTCTTCCCAGCTTGTCTCTGCCCAGCTCTGAAGAAGGTGTTAAGGTGGAGAAAGTTGGAGACTACGTCCGTGTCATCCTTGAGCCTGATTTCGATGGAAAGGTTAGTTTACAAGTACGCCAGTACAATATGAACTGATTCTTTGTGGAAGTATTGTATTGGGTGACTGAGTTGTGGGTTTGTCTGAGTCTGTCGGCCGTAATTGCCTTGGTTGCGAAGTGGGTGGGAGGTGATTTTGACAGAAACTGATGATTGAAAGGCAGATCAAGCCTGAAGGTGGGCAGTAAATGGAGAAATTCAGGAAGAGGCATAGTTACCCAATTAAATTTCATCAGAGACATACCATAATAATTGCACCTACATGTACATGTACTGAATGTAAATATTTCCTCCTACCCAGCTGGTGAGGGTTGTAGTGTACTGGGATGGTTTGACAAGTGTGTATGTCGAAGTTGACGAGGACCTTGCAGGAAACCTTTGTGGTCTATGTGGCAACTTCAATGGAAACTCAACAGATGAATACAGACTCAGAGATGGTAAGAAAAAAAATTTCTTCATGTTGTGGTACTCATGAAAAGGTTACCCTGCAGTACAATGAACTGAGTAGATCATATAAAAAATCTTGACTGTGTGCTTACAATTTTGCTGCCCAAAATTGATGATGTCAGAGATGATACTCCAGAAACTGTTTCCATAGAAATAAATGTAAAAAATACAAGTGCAAATCTACTTCTCCAGCTTTTGTCTGCTGTACTTTAATTCCCCAGTGCCATGTACTTATTATGCAGACTTAGTTCTAATCATCCCTGACATAGGAAGACCTAATATCTCCTTTGCTACAGATTAGTGAACACTGAGATATTTGCCAAACCCTTTAGACCTGTGGAAACATGGGCATCTATGTATTCAGTTGTCTTTGAAAACCAGGACCGTGAAAATCTTTGTGTGAAGAGGTAACAAGTTAAACAAAGCATTTCTCCTGCCCGTGAGGGTGCATAAGATAAATATACTTTTACGGAAGAGTACAAGGAATGAGTGTCATCTGGATGTTTTGAGAGGGAGGAGCAGTTTTTGTACATGACAGAGACTTGTTTATAGATGATTTATTGTCTGAGTTGTTTGTTGGGGACGGATGAAAGTAAGAGGATGTCACCGCTGAAGGGGACCACAACTGAGCAAATGCCAGTACCATGGGTCACCGGGAAGGGACAACAAACCCTCCTGCAAACACATCGATTCATTAGTAATGTGTGGGGAGGGCTTTGAAGGGACAGCATTAGTGGAGAGCCTAACCCTGAATACAAACATACAATCATGTGCAGATGGCAAAAAGACATGATGGTAGTAAATTGAGCGACTTTAGTATACTGCCACACAGATGAAAGGGTCTGTCTCAGAGTTTTACACCTTTACTTGCAACATTTAGTATCTTTTGTAGCATTGTAGCTTATTAAACAACAGGGGACATGATTTGTTAAAAAAAGTACCATCATACTGAGAATGTGAGTTGTGACATATCTTACAATATATGTGTGTCGTCATCTGTAAAATTACAACACGTCGGCTTATAACAAGTTGCACAGTTACATTGTATGTGAACAAAAGGGAGTAACATACACTGGAGGTCACTTGCCTCTAACTTGAACGTGAACTACGTGCCACATGTTCAGCCAGTCAGCTTTGAGAAACTTGAGATGCATAAGTCTGGTCTTTAAATTAGTTTGTGGTACGGATTTGTGAAATCAAAGCTGCTTTAAGTCCTCACCAGACTCCCAGTTATATATTGGAGTGTCGTTCATACTCTGGTAACAGAAAGGAAAGTCTCTATGTTTTGCCCAATTTGTGTAAAAAGTAACTGCTTAAAAATTATGATCAAAGGCTTTAAGCGGCCAAGTAGTTAAGACTATTACTGAATAGACCAGTCCTATACATGTTCAAGCCTAAATCTTGTTGGTACACCAGTCAAGTATAGCTGATGACAGAGAACCTGTTATCAGGCTATTTATCAAGTTCAGACCTGCACAGCTGTAAAAGTTTAACCTATTTTTGTCAAAATGTCAGGATGTGTTACCTGTTGTAAGTGGGTGGATGTTTGACCAGGGATGTTTTTACCTTGGGTGAGTGGGTGTTGGCCTCGCACATGCTCCTATGATGGATGAGAAACGTCTGACCTTCAGAACTGTCAGTCAGACCTATTCATTGTCAATTTGCATACATGCACCTGTCGTGTGTGGGAGGATGCTGGTATGACAGTCCATTTATGTGCACCTGTCTTGGGTGGCTGGAGGGTTTTAGCAGTAGCGGGAGGGTTAAGTGGTTTTGAGTTAAAACTTAACCCTGTCTTTAGATCTTCAACTTAATCAAGTTCAAATTCTTGTCACTGAGCTTACACACTAATAGAAAATGCTGTTGTGAGCTATAGACTGTGTTCTACTATTCATTAATAAAGGAACATGGCAAATGAGCATTCATGTAGTGTACATGTGCACAAGAGCCTGTCCTTTTCATTATTACAAGTACCAGCAGGAGAAAAGCTTCGTCAGTTCAAATATGTATATCTGCCACCATAAAAAAGCATCAAATCAGAGTTTTAATACAATGGTCAGCCGGTGAAATGTATAGCGTGTCTAAACTGTGTGTACCTGGGGGTGCTTCACTAGCGATCTCTCAAACACAAAGTGCCCGATATATCCAACTGATAAATGTTAACGGAGGTTAGAATGGGATGTCAAATGTCAGGTCAAATTAGTTATTGACATTCTTTTTGTGAGAGTAAAATGCTTTTCCAGAATAGACAGTTTCTTTTCTTTGCCTCCCTTCAGGCACTTCCAGCAGCAGCAGAATCACTTTTGCAAACAGCTGGAAGATGACAGATGCCGAGGAACACTGCCCCAACGTGCGTGCAGACACTCCTAGCAGCTGCGCAGCCGCTACACAGCAGCAGCTTCTGGTGCGTTACTAAGCTAGCAGCCCTACATTTGTAGCTAGGTCCTTGTATCATCTCCAACTGTTGTTTACAGCATGTAGTTAAATGAATCAAACAACTGGACAGAGTAGGGTTGGAGGTCATCATGATTGAATGCTCTAAGCAATTCTAAATCTGCTGAAACCAATTTTATGTGTTGTGTATGTTTTTCTGATTTCTGCAGGAAATTTTTGGAATCTGCAATGTCCTGATAGGGAATGAGGCCTTTGCCTCCTGTCATGGAGTGGTAAATGTAAACCCTTACATTGAAGCCTGTGTAGCAGACTTGTGTAGCTGTGACTATGCAAACAGGTAAGAGCACTAACTACGTGTCATTCTGTAGATAAACTGAGGGTGCAAAAAGTAGAGATAAACATTGCACTCTCAGTAGAAAAAGTACAGTAGATGATAGAAGGTGACAAATATGTTTCCATAGTTCAGAGTTTTGTGACATACAGCTGCCAGCTGTTGACATTCATCAGATTTTTAAACATTCATCAGTTTTTTTTAAACGAATTAGTCCATAGGATGTTAAGATGTGGACCATTGTTCTTGATCTAAAACTAAAAGAGCAAGGCACATCAGGGCTCTGAGCATTGAAAGATGTCAGAAGCAAGACTGGTTAAATCTCCATCTTGTACAAGCTCTTATTTGCGATATTTTGCGAGTTGTGTGAGACTGAGTCTGTGCTGTCTGTGTACAGGCAGGACTGCCAGTGCGAGGCCCTGACCCAGTACTCCCGAGCCTGTGCTCACCGACGGATAGAGATGGACTGGAGGCGCACGGACCTGTGCTGTAAGTATGGGAACTAGAAATGGGTGCTGTGAATATCAAGGGCCATGTGCCACCGCACAGCACTGCCTGCAAAGCTTGGCAATTGATTATGCAGGCTAAACAATTTGTGGGGAAGAGGACTTGAAATATGGGGAATGCAATATGCTGTAAGAGTAAAAGGAGTATTAGTGTTATGCTATACATACATGTATACATGATAGTTGTATGTTGGGGTGGCAGTGTGTTGTAAATTGAGCAGAGTTAGGCTTCCCTTGGTCTGTCTATATTGGATGGAATACTGTAACTAGGTACTTTTGTGGGCAGATAGACTGCCCCTATGGCCTATGGCTATGGGACTGAGTAAGATTGAGTGAGTGACTGACTGCATGTACACCATCATAGGAGAAGAAGATCATAGGAAAGCTTAGTACCTGTTCAGTTTGTCTGTTTCTTGCTGCTTATTCATGTATTCTTGTATTCTGTAGACCGTGGTTGCCCTGCCACTATGGTGTACACAGAGTGTGCCAGCTCTTGCCCTCGAACATGCAGGTTTGTACAAGCTATTCTATAACTACAAGTGGACAGAAGGGTATCCCATGGTTTCACACAAAGTCTGAGCATGTTAGAATTATTTCACATAAAGAAATCACTGTGAAAGAGTGCTTTCTTGTACAAGATAGCTACAGAATGATTTGGATAGCTTTTCAGCACCAAGGAGAAATTACACACAACACTAAAGCAACCGTTTTTTGTCTTACACAATTCAAGTACAATGGCGTGTAGCTATTTCTTCTACAACTGTATGGGGAAGTTTACCCACATATTACATGCATTAATTTACACTGTCTGATACATGTAGGTCTTCTTGCAGTAATACAACATGTATCTTCTTCCCAATGTTTGGATGTAAGTTTATCTGTCAGGCATTATTCTTTTACAGAATTGATAGTGGGACTTAGCAGATTTACCAATTTTCCTTCCCTTCCACAGAAATTCCCAAGGTGACTATGACTGTGATGACCATTGTGTGGATGGCTGCTCGTGCCCAGAAGGGACACTGTGGGACGAGGGTTCCCTGCGGTGTGTTGTGGAACAGGAGTGTCCCTGTACCCACCTGGGTGTGGAGTACGCACCTGGAGCAAACATCCCTGACAACTGCAACCAAGCGTGAGTCTTAACATGCCCTCATAATCAGCTGAACCAAGTAACAAAATGTGTCTCATACATTTTGTACATTGTATCTAGACACAGTGCATTGTAGGATTGTTTAGAGTATTTGGACAGCCTTAAAGAGTACTTTGCTTTATTACTTATGAGTACATTGTACTTACATGAATGCCTTTTTTGTGTGCTAGACCAGTGGACACTATATCTTACACTGTGAAGAAGTAGGTCCCTTTAAACAGTAATTTTTGGTGGACATCTCTTTGACATTTGTATGGATGGAACATTGTGACCTTAATATGTTGTCTTCACTTTAGCTACTGTGTTGCTGGCCACTGGGTGAGGACAAACTCGGAGTGTGATGCCACCTGTAGTATCCGTGGGGACCCCCACATCACCACGTTTGACAAGCGTTCCTACCAGTTTGCTGGGGTGTGCCAGTACATCGTGGCGAAGGACTTTGTTAACGGGAAGTTCACTCTGCTGGCCGACCAGCAGCCGTGCGGGGATGACGACACCAGCTCCTGTATCAGGTGATTTTCACTGGACCAACACCAGACTGGTCTCTTCAAATCTGAATAAATATTAGATAAGATTGGAAATCAAATAACCCAACACATGTTAACATTGTTACATGATACTATTAGACAAAATGACCATAACATACTATATTAGAAGTATATTTGCATGTATTCTTGTTCAACTGATGGTGACTTTTTTGTACATTTGTAGAAAAGTAGAAAAATATTTTGAATAAATAATAAAGTGACCATATGAGTGTCACCACATTTTCAGTTGAGCTTGTAAGGAATGGTTAAACTGGTTGCCATGTATTCCAGTATAATGCTAACCACACCTACTTTCTTTGAGATGGCATTATGAATCATTCCAGGTCAGTGACCCTGATTGTTGGGGGAAACACAGCCGGCAGGATCAAGCTTCACCAGCACGGTGTTCTGTCTGTGGGCCACAGCGACGTCCACATACAGCTGCCGTATCACAACGGTAGGTTTTTCTGCTTTGAATTTGAATGCTAGTTTCTGTACAGACCTGTGCCATATGACAGGAGCTGACTAAGAGATAGAATCTGTGATGAACTACATGGTTGTGTGATTTAAAATGGAGTAGTTTTCATACTACCTTGTTTAATGTATTATGTGAAACAGTGAAAGTATTTTGTGAAAAAGTTCATTCATTTGATGATTTCTACTTAAGATCATTGGTGCAATTCAGAGATCAGTTTGTCTTATCGTAAGGGTACACATGTATATACATTTTGCATAAGAAGTACAATGTATGTTGTAAACAGTTAGTGAATGTAGATAATCTATAACTTGTTGATTGTGAGGCCATTTTTGTATTCCTCCCAAGTTTATCCCTTAACAATATATATAGCCACCAGTTAGTTGGCCAATCTTGGCAGTATGTACATGTATGTTAGCCAATATATAGATAAATATGGCTGTTTCCTACTGTACAGATGATGTGAGTGTCCGTCGTCTGTCGTCCCTGTTTGTGGAGGTCACGACCAGCTTTGGGCTGACAGTGCAGTGGGACGGAAAAAGTCGTCTCTACACCACTGTAAGGAATCTTTTCTCCCTTCTCCTGTATTCTGCACAGCAGTCAGTGCATACATACTGTTGTGATGATTTGGGACCTAAAAACAAGTTAAAAGACAAGGAAAAAATGTTCTAGGAAAACAATTATAGTGACTTACAAAAACACGTATGACAGATGTACACACATAGCAATTTCTAGAACAGTTCACCATACATTGAATACAACATTTTTACCTTCAATAAACACAACCAATTCAGGTAAACAAACAAAAGACACAATGACCTAACATGTAACATTACATGTTTGCCCTGAACTGAATTACATTTTTCTCCCCGCTTCAGGTGACCCCCGACCTCAAGGGACATACTAAAGGCCTGTGCGGTACTTTCAATGACAACCAAAATGACGACTTCACCACACGTAGTGGTGTCATCGTTGCGAACATTGCCGAGTTTGGAAACTCCTGGAAGGTGTCTGCTGACTGTGAGGATCAGCCTGTGGTGACCTCTGGCCTTCAGCTGGGACCGTGTGCTATCAACACACAGAGAGGTGAGAGCCATGTCATTACCACTACGATCAGTGTGCATTACATGCAAGTGATTAAGAAATGTAAAATCCATTTTTCTGAGTTTGAAACATCCTAAGGAAGATGACTTCTATTTTTCGACACAATATCGTTCACAAATTCATGTCAATGTTGATGATTACATAACATTTTCATTCAATCTGTTCTATTCAGCGGGATATGCTAGACAGCATTGTGGTCTGATGAATGGAGGCAGTTTTGAGGCCTGTAACCGCCTGTTGGAACCAGCGGCGTACATAGCAGCCTGCGAGTACGACGTGTGCCAGTGTCAGGATGGAGATGACTGCCTGTGTTCTGCCATCGCCCACTACGCCAGGGAGTGTGCACAGCTGGGAGCTGTGGTCAACTGGAGGACAGAGGGAAACTGTGGTATGTCCTTACTCTTACATTGATAGGGAAGGCAGCAATGTCAAGAGAAATGAAGCAGCATTTTTGCCAGATAATCTGTATAACCTTAAAGCTGTTTTATCCTAGTAAATATATTCCACAAATTTCCAAGTGTTTGGTGATGACTGACCAAGGCTGCCCTTTTTTGAATCGTACATGCAGAAAATGTATAAAACTGTGTTCACAATAAAATATCATGCATTGGAGGGTGTTCAGTATCAAGGACAGGCATGTTTTTGTGAGAGGGTGTGTGTGTTCAGTACCAAGGACAGGCACATTTGTGTGAGAGAGGGAGTGTTCAGTACCAAGGACAGGCACAATTGTGTGTGAGAGGGAGTGTTCAGTACCAAGGACAGGCACATTTTTGTGTGAGAGAATGTTCAGTACCAAGGATAGGCATGTTTGTATGAGAGAGGGAGTGTTCAGTACCAAGGATAGGCATGTTTGTATGAGAGAGGGAGTGTTCAGTACCAAGGACAGGCACATTAGTGTGAGAGGGGGAGTGTTCAGTACCAAGGACAGACACATCTGTTTGAGAGGATCTCGACTTTGGATAACACCTTTATTTTGCTGTGCTTGTCCATGTGTAGTTGAGGAGTGTCCCCAGGTGGGACAGGTGTGGCAGGAGTGTGGCTCCGCCTGTAGCTCCAGCTGTCGGTACCTGTCCGAGCCAGACTCCGGCTGTACCGAGGACTGCGTGGCCGGCTGCAACTGTCCACCTGGCCTGTACCAGTCCGAGAGCGGGGCCTGCGTCCCTCAGGAGGAGTGCCAGTGTTTCTACAAAGGGGAGGTGTATCAGCCACAGACTTCCTCTGTGCTGGGCAACGAAATATGGTGAGTCAGGGGCAACACTGGAATAGTGTAAATGGTGGACTCAGCCAGCCCATCTATTGGAAAGGGTTAGACTTCTGAGAAGAATTAAAATCTGCATGTCTGCAGTTCAAAGCAGAGGGCAGCATGCATGAGCTGGTACAAAATATTGTGCTATAACTAGCTACTGGTAGTGCTGCCACATTTTTAATCAATCGTACGAGAATTTTGGTCAACATAGTGTTTGGAATATCATCCTCCCTTCTGCCTTGTCCCCCCAATGACTAGGTCAAGGGACAAGGTACAAAATGTAGGTAGGTAGGTAGTGTTTGCATTCATGATACCTTTTATCTGAAAGTTGAAGTTCACTATAACAGATGCACTACATACATCTAAGAACAATCATAGAACAAAAATTGCACAGATATTGATTCTTCTAACAGTTACAAGTGCTTTGTTAATATTTACTTGACCGTATCATTTTTGCTAAGTGTGACAAATTTATTGCGGATTGACAACATGCTGTAGGAGGGCAGGTCTCTTGATAACTGATTCATCGTGTTTCCTCTACAGCTTCTGTGAGAGTGGTGTAATGAGCTGTGAGGAGCGGACGTTCTCAGGTAAGTTTTAGTGCTCTCATCTCCTTGTCCTAAATGTTGTACCTTTTCCTCTATCTGTTTTGTTATGTTGTACAGTTTGTCATATCAATGGCATACCTATTGGAGGTCACTGTGATAGATGTATTTCTATCATGGTATTCAACCTGATGCCATGTTTTGTGCAGAGAACAACTGTACTGCTGGGATGGAGTACTTTGACTGTGAAGGAGCAGCCCCTGGGCAGATGGGAAAAGCCTGTGAAGAGACGTGTGGAAACATCGGCATGGAATGTCTGGCAGAGCAGTGTGTGTCAGGTGGGTGAACAGTGTGTCAGGTGCATGAACAGTTTGTGTCAGGTGGGTGAACAGTGTGTCAGGTGCATGAACAGTTTGTGTCAGGTGGGTGAACAGTGTGTGTCAGGTGGGTGAACAGTGTGTGTCAGGTGCATGAACAGTGTGTGTCAGGTGGGTGAACAGTGTGTCAGGTGCATGAACAGTTTGTGTCAGGTGGGTGAACAGTGTGTGTCAGGTGGTGACCAGTGTGTCAGGTG